GGGTGTCTGTGGATGTGGTTTCCAGTGAGGGTGTCCCAGCATGGCAGGGGTGTCTGTGGATGTGGTTTCCAGTGAGGGCGTCCCAGTGTGGCAGGGGTATCTGTGGATGTGGTTTCCAGTGAGGTCGTCCCAGCGTGGCAGGGGTGTCTGTGGATGTAGTTTCCAGTGAGGGCGTCCCAGTGTGGCAGGGGTATCTGTGGATGTGGTTTCCAGTGAGGTCGTCCCAGCGTGGCAGGGGTGTCTGTGGATGTAGTTTCCAGTGAGGGGTCCCCGCCTCTCCCCAGCTTCTCGTGGATGTTTAAGAGTGGAGGGTTGGGTCTCTGGTCCACAAAGCTGCTGCTGACAGACGGCTGCTGCCCCTGGTCATGCAGCTCATACAGGGTTGCTAGGTGACAGGTGACTGGGATTGAAAAGAAAATAAGCAGAAGTTCCAGGAACCTGTCATGGCACCATGTGTAACTGCTGAGCAAATTAACCACCTATAAATATTTATTTTTAAACAAGTTGATGAAATTCATCTTTTTAGTTTTTTCTGGTTTTCATTCAGAATTTTTTTCATTTATTCAGTTCAGTGGTGTATGGGCGACTCAGTCCTCTCTGACCTATCTATGCAACCTAGCAGCTGAATAATGTTTTTAAATGGATTCCCCAGTGTGAAATTATACACTGAGGCTGCTACGTCATGCAGGTTTCCCAGGAGACCCTGCCAATGGCTTTCAGCAGGGGAATACTGAACACCTACTGAACACCTACATGAGTATCTCTCCCCTCAAATTTACCTTGGCAGAGCACTCAGATTTCCCATTGTTCTAATATGAAATTGTCTTCATTTAATATTTCCTATTTAAATTAAGATTATGTATGCTGTGCTAATTCTTATGCATTTCAAAAACATCTAGTAGCTTTAGTATAACATTTAGTTAAGTGCTTTACCCCTTTCTCTTCCATTATGATGGCCTCTGTTGTTGTTGCAAAAAGTAATTTAACTTCCATTATATATGGATGTTTTCCTTTGAATTTTGTAAGGTAACCTGGACAAAGGGGTACGGATTTTAATGGGCTAATGGAGTTTGGGTATAAGGTGCAATTAGGATGACCACCTAATCCATGTCAGGGGGGATACTATAAGCTTCTCCAGGCTTTACAAACTGCTTTAAAACTGAAAGGCTCCTATGCTTGGTGAATTATTTCAGTTCATCTTTGACTGCTTTGTTTCCTTGGTTGAAAGTCTCATCCAGCTATTTCACATTAACATTAATGACATGTATGATTATAGGAGACTGACCAATCAGCACACAGAAGGAACTTGCTGCTTAAGTGAAATCCAGGTTTTAATTGAAATGGTTGAATTGACAAACCCTGTCGCACCTCAACTCGTCCCCCCTAACATGGATTAGATGGTCCCTTGGTGCAGTTGCCTTTGTTGTACTTCTTGATTGAAGTAGTGTAGCTCTAAGCTGTTAGAATGCAGTGACTTTAGCTCTTTTTCTCCAGGTCGTAGCACATCCCCAGGCTGGATTTAGGTTGTGTCACCAATGGGCTCAAATCTGTGTCTCAGCCTCTGGTTTTACTTTACAGCCATAGGACTGCTCGTCATACGCTGGATCATACTGTTCTTCACGTCTGTGTAGCTTTTCGGAAGGAGCAGGTATTTCATTAGAACCTGAGTGGGCATCTTAATCACATGACCGCACACATGTGTGTTCATGTTACTCAGAGAGCTGTGTGTTGCTCAGCGGGCAAGTCTCTGTGCCTGTGATTGGAAGGTTGCCGGTTCGAGCCTGGCCTTGGCAGAACTGTCACGTCTGAATTTCACCTGCTTCATGTGGTCCTGAAGTGCTTATTTGTGAAACCTCACTTACAGCAAATGAATACTTATAAACTTATACCAGGATAAGTCAGTGCACGTCTGTGACTATTAACCCCAGCTGCCTGGGCACCACTGGAGGGGGCTGCCCTTTGCTGCCAGGCTTGCTCTCATCTACTCATCTGTGTGCCAGGGAGAGCAAGATGGGGTAGGCATGAAGAGAATTTAGTGTCATAAATAGTCTCTGTACAATGCAGGTAAGCATGTAGAACCAAATGAGCAGTTTTTGGCAGTCTTCTGAAGTAGGCTGTAAAGATGTGTTAATAAAAAAGAGATAAAAAGCCAAATAACTGAGAGTAAAGTAAAAGGGGCCAGTGTGCAGCTCGGTGGGTTAGGGTTACGACTGTGTCCATGTCCTGTAGGCTGTAAGTTCGAATCCTACGTCTGGCAGAATCATCTTTAACACTGTTGGGTCCTTGAGCAGGAGCCTTAACCCCAGCTTTTCCAGGGGTGCTGACTGACACTGTGCTCTGATCCCAAAACCTTGTATCACCTATATATGCTCTCCATGTGAGACCTATATGACATGACAATTACCCAACTACTAGTCTGGAATAAATAAAATGCATTTATCTATGTCGAGAACACAGGGTCAAACAGTCCCAGGAGCAATTGGGGCTGAGGGCCTAATGGTGACATCTCTCTGCCAACCAGTGCCCGTCCAATCACAGACACAGTACCCTAGCCCACTGACAAGTCACACGCTACCTCTAGTACCTCTGTTTTATGTTAATTGTTTGTGTTCCTCCAGCATAACTAAGGCTTTTTGCATTACAGTTTGTTTAAACATGTGTTTGGACACATTTGGGACTAGGTTAATAAACTAATAAAAATCATTAATTTAATATTAACCTGTAGAAGACTGGCATAAGTCTGCAACAATGGCAGTCATGGTACTGTCCTGAATTTCAACTGCTTGATGTGGTCTGGAAGTTCTTCTTTGTAAGACTACACTTGCAACAATTAAATTATTATGAAGTCATACCTGGATAGCTCAGTGCTCACTTAATTGACATTTGCCAGCACATGGGAGGGATCTAAAGCCGTTCTAAAGTCTTTCACAGCCCTTTTGCAGGAAAGGTCTGTCCTAGGGGGTCATTTAGCTACTTATTTGTGGCAGCCTATTTGCATTGAAATGCAATCCTGTTTAAAAGTGTGGCTCCTAATAGTTTGGGAAATAAGCTTTCAGGGTGAAGCCTCTCGCTGCAGTTGGTGATTTTTGTTCTGATCTTCTTCTACATTTACAGATAGCTGCTTCTACTGTATATTTTATTTGGTTTGGGAAATGTTGTTTTCTGGAACCATTTCAACTGGAATATACTATATTATATTGCACCAGTGGGGCGCATGTCCCAGAATGCCCCGCGTGTAATTGTAAATAGCCCTTGTTGTGTTATTATTGTTAATATTAATGACTGATGTCAGAAGTGGGATCCCAGAAGTGATCACCATCATCCAACAAGCTTGCTCCAGCTTGGCGGACCTCGAGGTGGAAGAGAAGTGATGGCACCCCAGAAGAGACGCGAAGCTCGTCTGCTGGTGCTACGGGATAGAAGGACACTGGGCTCGCCACTGCCCAGAAGCTGGCACCAGAGTCTCCGGTAGATGAGCAGGGGATGCCGGGGAAAGAGAGGCAACCTCCGCTACATCCAGGATGCACCAGGCCCACGTCCTGAAGCCGCTCCTGCCTGCCCACCAAAACCTCAGTGGAGATGACCATCAAGACCAGGAGCAGCTGCGGGAGTCCGCGGAGCAAGAGCGGCAGGACTTGGAGTGGTCCACGGCAAGCTGGCCAGCTGGAAGCAGGAGTGCAACTGCCAGGTGTGCCTGGTTGAGCAGAGGCGGCATTACGGGGCTACAAGAGGCGGAGGTTGCGCTGCGTGGCTGAGAGGAGGCATGCCATGCTTTGGAGGCCAAGTTAGTCCAAGAATGCAGTGAGCTGGCGGCCTGACCAGAGCAGGAGCGGCTGTGCAGAGCTGCCTGACCCTGCAAGCAGGACGCCTCGTCGCAGAACCAGCCTACCCCACAACACCCGGGCCCTCCTAAGTGGGGTAGGAAGAAGGGCCGGGGCCAGAAGGGGGCTGCACTGCCGGAAGTCTCCAGCAGCCCCTTGCGCTGGCTGTCACCGGAGAAGGGAGCCTGGCTGTGGGAGTCACAGGGGGTGGACCCCCTGGAAGCTGTGCTAGGTCCCCTAAAGGTGTGGAAGAAGAAGAGTCGGTGCCGGGGGGGATCTGACATGCCAGCACTGGCCAGCAGGTAGCTACACCAGTGCTCAGGGAGCGACTTCCCCTGTCATCAGAGGCGACCAGCGGACCTCTGGGACAGAGGTGGGGACTGGGGGTGGTGGTCGCCGGGACAGTCGACCTCTGAGGAGGGGGCTGTGTAGCACCGGCAGGGTGCATGTCCCAGCATACCCCGCTTGCAATTGTAAATAGCCCTTGTTGTGTTGTTGTTGTTAATGTTAATGGTTACATTTCCCTATTGTCGCCCATGTTTTGTGTGAACCCTGTCCGATCCTCGCGTGGATTTAGCTTGCGTCAATCTCCCACCGTGGGTGCATCTTACAGTGCAGTGTCCGACAACCTTGTGTTTCCTGTGTCTAATTGGTTCGGTGCTCGTTGGGTGCCACATGTAGTCCTTTTAAGGACTGCGAATAAAGAGTGAGTTCTCCCTGGCAAGTACATCTCTGTGTCTTTACTCCCGCAATGCCTTGGTCCGCCCAACGCCACAATATTATTACTTATTGCCTGTGTTGGTGTCCATTTTAATGTTACATTCAATATTAGTTCTACTGTTGTTCTGATATATTTACTCATATCAACTTTTAAAAGCACTGAATTATGTTTTTTTATATTTTACACATTTTACTGTGTGGCAAAATGGTTCAGTGGTTATGCTTGCTGCCTCACACGTCTGCTCAGTGTCAGTGGAGTTTGTACATTCTCCCCCTGAAATACTTTCCTCGGGGTACTCAGCTTTTATTCTGGAGATGCCGTCAGGTTAATGGAAATCTCTCAATGTCCGGTATGGTATGACTGGGCATGGGAGTGTATGAACAGGTGCCCATGCAATTGTCTGACATTCCATACAGGTTGTACCCCACTTCTGTGTTATGTAGGTAGTTATTACTTTTAATCTTTAAAAAAATTCTATACTGTGATACATAATTTATTTAAACTTAATAATATTCAAATGTGCAAATTTATTTTTGAATACAAAATGCACTTGACCAGTCTGAAATCATTCCAATTTTTATACATAATAATTTTATAATAATGATTTCCTGTTATTTAACATAAGATAAGATAAGATGAGATTATATTAGATAAACATTGTGCCATTTAAATCTTGCTGTCTGCATCTCAGTCCACAGGTGGATGAAGGCTTTGAAATACTGCTTGGCCCTGAAGTCACATATGGTCCAGCTGGCATTGACCTCTGCTGCCCTGTTGTCTTGACGATAACCCATTGTGCCCAGGCCAGTCTAGAAGATTGGAGTATCAGACTCAAAAGAAAAACTCAAGAGAATAAGTGGGAGGTAAGATTGCCTGCAAGGCAATGTTAATTGACTTAAGTCTGAACTGCAGCGTGATCAAACTTTTTTGGAGGGAGATTCAATTTGGTAATAAAAGCATTGGAATATGACACAAATGCATCTATCTTTGATATCAGAGGTCAAAGTTTCATTCCTTTGTTGTTTGCTTGCTCAGTCCTTTATGCCATTCGACCTCTGAATAAACACAAATTAGGACGGATCCTTGGGGAGAATGTCAGCCATTTTGGTTCATTGAAAGGAAATTGATCTATTGCTGGGAGTTCAGTGAAATGCCTGAAATGTTTGGGAAATATAGGTGGATGGAAGAAGGCCCAGTTAGCAGGAGGCTGGCCAGTACAGATCACCAGGAAACTTTAGTGGGGCCTGATGGCAGCTGAGGCGCCCGTGGTATAAGAGAGGGCTGTCTTCATCGGGACGGGGAGCTGGCAAGGGGTCAAAGCCAACACGGTCAGACAGAGGCAGCTAAGTCCACAGCTCCTGACTTATTACTTAATGTGAAGGACTTTCCATTTCCCAGCATAACAACATTTCTTTTTCTCACACACACTAACCAATAGAATCAGATTTACACAAAGCGTTCATTTTGTACAACTAGGAACCAGAGAATGCAAACAAACGCCCAGGAAACAAATGTGGACATTTTACACATGGAGTAATTTAATACCCAGTGCAGTGGAATCTGGTGAAATCTGGTGAAATCTGGTGAAATCTTATGAAATCTAAATAAGAAGAAAAAAAAAATAAAGAAGAACTAAACCTGGCACACAAACTCACCTGTTATGTAAGCCACCAATTATATCTGCATTTCTGGAGAAGCCCCACAGAAGTAATTTTTTTCATAGATATTTAACATCTGGACAGCTCTTTAGAAGTGTTATATAAAACAGAAATCTATCCTGTCTTCTGGGGGATGAAACCAAGCAAAGCCGTCCATATTCTTTAGCTTACACTTTACTGGCTGTGTTGTGTAACCTTTCAGTTTATGTAAGACGGTCTTCCATCCAAGACAGGCTATGAAATGCATGGAAAATAGTAAGCAAGCACAGAAGGCAATATTCCATAAAAATGCATTTCAGTATGGCCTTGTTGTTTGACTTGTGCCATTTATATTTATATTATTATGCATTTTTGTAACTATTTCAATTGCACAACCAGAGGCGTAATTTGTATAAGTCAATTTACGGTACAGCTTTTGAATGCACCTGAAATATTCTATTTTATTTATATCCTATTTTATTTAGATCGCTTTGTAGCATTAACTGATGGTAAATATTAAGAAAAACCCAAATGAATGGGTGCATGTAAACTATGCCAGGAAGAAGAATGACATTAAAGGATACAACAGCCCATGTTCACTTGAACAATAGTTCATGTGATGTGTGCTTCCGGTGACTAGGAGCCCTTGTCTGTGTACAGAAGGGCTCTGGTTCGAATCCCATCACAAGCAGGGCAGAAATATAATTGCTGGCCTTTGATTAAGCCCCTTACGCCAAAAAGCTGCTCCAGGGATGCTGAAAAAAATCGCTGGTCCTGCGCTCTGACTCAAAGCGTCACTCTCAAGTATAGGTGGGTGTGTCTCATCTAAGAGCATGACTGGTTATGTGAAAAATATGCTTGTAAAAGTGGCAAATAAGGTATCATTAGTACCTTATCACATTTCTTCACTGACGGGAAGTCAGCTACAGTCAGAGGCTTGATAGGCAGTCTGAGTACTGCAGGGCTGGAGTTGATAAAACCAGGCTATTTACAAACAAACATGCTTTATTTCCCATTTGCATAAGTACAGGTACATTGGAATGCTTCTCTCTGTTGACTCCATTTTGCTCTTCATAGCTTGGGGGGTGGGGGTGTCATAGTACCAGGTCAGCTAACATGCAGCACCACTGGGGCTGGGGGCTAAGGGCCTCGCTCAAGGGCCCGCCAACACGAGACTGTTCTGCTGAGGTCGGGGCTCGACCCAGCGATCTTCTGATGACAGGCACAGAGACTTGGCCCACTGAGCCACTCAAATCGTCCTTTTGATCAGCAGCGTCTTTAACTTAAAATCCTCATAAAGTCATACTGTGATTCTATGGTGTGCACTTCTGTTGATTGTGTGTCATTTACCAATGTTGTCCTTTCCTTGTAGTTGCACACCATTGTTACATACCTTCGACCCTATTATTCATGAAAATCTACAAATTATGTCTTGTTAGTCATTAAAGGTGTTGCCAAAAACAATTTTATTTTTGTTTTTAAGTACTACTGTTGCAGTTATGCAGGCCCTAATATGTTTATAAGAGATTCTGAACATGCCCAAACATCAGCTTTTTAATTAATGCATGAGTCACGTCTGTGTGGGAAACATAAGCTTTGATTCTTGTTGCTTCCCACCTGTTGCAGGAAGTGATGTCACTGGAGGACGAGACCCTTTCCTGTTACTGCCTGATGGACTCCTTAAGTTGCCACTTCCTGCTGGAGCAGCCGGGCTGCTTTGTGCTCACAGGGGAGCCGCTAACTGAGGAAGCCTCCAAGCGACTGCGGCTGGCTGCCTTTGGCTGCGCAGGCCCTGGTACCATGGAGTACAGTCTGCGGATTTACTGCGTGGACGACACACCCCATGCCTTTCAGGTCCAGTTGCTGCAGCTGGGCTTCCATTTCTGCCTTGTTTCAACCAGGAACTTAGTGACCCAAATATGACTGTAGGCACAGTGTACAGTGGTATACAACATTTATGGCTGCTTACAGAGTTATTAACAATATGTATTACAAAGAGGAATTAAGTAGTATTGATAATCCTAAATTGTGATGATAATAATAGAAAACCTTAAAGCTTGCTAGTGTTTTCTAAAGATAAGGGCTAAGTAACAGACATTTAGTAATAATAATTATGGGATAATTGCTTTTTTTTTACCAGATTACAATAATATGCAGTTTGTTACCATACCAAAATCTGACAAATACCTGTATGAAATTCCTTCTCTCTCAGACAGATGTTCATAGGGCACCAATTTACCAATTAACCACACAGCTGTTGGAACATAAGATGCAGGGCACTTTAGATTTGAGTCTTTCAGTTGCTGCCATTTCTCTCAAAAATCCTTTTCTTTGTCCCCTATGGCACCCATCCATTTCACAATTATTTTCCAGATGGCATATCTTGGTGAATGTCTGGCCCTGTTCACCATGTAGTGTCTCTCGAGGCTGTAGCACCTCTGAGCAGAGACATTAATGCTTAACTTTAATGAATCTAAGCAAGTGTCTCCTGTCCGTTCCTGTCTGGAAAATCCATGTTCAGAATTTAATGCTGAAAGCTATTTCAAAGCCTCACTGTTGGACTATACAGATCTGCATGTTATTTAAATTAGAAATGTCAAAAACTGCAGGCTGGATCCGTTTGCACAATAGTGGGGTGTGATTGCTGGTAATAAAGGTGAAAGTTGCGTTCAGGTTCAGCTCAAAGTGATTACATGAAAACATGCAGACTCTATAACTGGGGAAGAACATTTGAATATTATGAAAGTACATATACAGCTGTAGGAAAAATGAAGAGACCACAGCACAATGAACAATATACATATATATTTTTTGCAAACTGCAGCCTGGTTCTTCCCTGTTTCTCATTAATGAAGGTCTTCTTCCTTGCTTTAAGGGACTTCAGTCCTGCTCTAGGAGCCTGATACAAACTGTCCTAGCAGTGCACTTCACACCTGCACTTAATGTTTCCCATTCCTTTTGAAGGTCACTTGATGTCTTCCTACGATTCACAAGAAACTGTCAGATAAGTTACCGGTCACCTGTGGCATTAGAATGTCGTTTCTGCCTTTCACCTGACTGGTTTCTGGTCATTCCCAGTGTCTCCTGCTTCACCTTCTTCTTGTGTACTGCTCTCTTAGAAATTTTGAACCTGAAAGCAACCGGCTGTTCAGCGTAGCCTTCTGCCAGCAGAACCATGATTAAACCCAGATTAAAAAATGCAGATTTGTTCAAAAATACAGAGTGGTCTCCTAACTTTTTCCACGGCTGTATATAGAATTAGTTATTGTAGTAGTTTAATGGCGATCATGCCCAGTGATTCTGTGACAAAAAAGACATGAAATTGGGGAGATTGAATGTTGACAGCAAGAGGTGTTTGAGGGTTGGTGGGCGGCTCTGTGGGCTGGGACTTTGTGTCTGTAATTGAAAGGTCACTGGTTCAAATCGCAGGTTTGACACAGTGATTCCATCACTGGGCCCTTGAGCAAGACCCTTAACCCCAATTGGCTGACCCTGCTTTCTCAATTATGTGTCACTTTGTATAAAAGCATCAGGTACATAAATAAATGTAATGAGGTATTCTGAAATGCCATTTGCAAATAATGATTTCAGCTTCCCTAGCCAGCTGACTTTCAATCTCATATAATCACTGAATCCCACAATGCATCTGTTTCTGTCTTTATGATTGAAATGGCAGGAAGGGCCACATAAAGAGCATGAAAAAAATATTGTTTGGACACATTGAAATCAAAAATGCATTTAACATATTTCATTTTTGGGGATAATGGTTAAGTTTCGACTTTTACTATTTGTGTTTTTTTTTTCCTGCAAAACAAAATTAAATGCAGTTTTTAAAAATCTTTTTTGTTATATATTTCATAATTAAACATAATATACTACATAACATACACAATCACGTTAGGTGATATTTTAAAATCATTATCTGTGTCTCTTTCGAGCTGTTTATACATCTATGAGTAGTGATGAACATCTCAAAATCTTCATGTTGCAGGAGGTGATAGCCACAGAGAAGCTCAGAGGGGGGGAACTTCTGGAAGAACCTAAGACTCTGTGCTTCAAGGGGAACACCTTTAGCCTCCAGGTTTCCATCCAGGACATCCCACAGTTTTTGTGGAACATCAAGCCTTTCACCACTTGTCAGGTACCGGATAGAACCAGTTTCAGTCGTGACAGCTATATAGGTACCGTTCAGCTTATAAGTACTTATCTGCACCAGGGCAGGCAAAAGTGTCAAGGACTAAGTAGTGCGGAAAAATCAGCTATGTTGACACCTCATTCTTCTGGAATAAAAATAGAACATTTAACTGAAATAGTAGAGTGCTGATATATACTAAAAGTTTAACTTAGTGGGGCCTTAAGTTGTACACTACCGACTCAACGTTAAACGTGTGAGTATGTCAGGATAGCAGTAAAGCGCAGAGCAAACGAAGAGAGCTGACTTTGCTGTCCCGAGGTCAGCCTTTGGTATTGAAGACACACTTATTAGCTTAGTTGATAATTTTACTTACAGGTCCTTTAATTGAAGTGTGTCACAGAAAATAAGATCAAAGTGGTTTGGGGGTGTCGAAAATTTCCGTGCCTGTATTTTTGTCAGATACTCTCCAGCGCTCACCCTTACTGGTCACTTTGAAGTACATAGATAGAAGGGAGACATAAAGGCCAAGGATGTCTCCCCCACCTGTGAGCCACAGAATTGAATTATTCATCCGAAGCATCCTGCCCTATTTCCCGTGTTACTCTGCTTTCCCAGGCTTGTTGCCTGCCTGTTGTGAAGCCCTTTGAGGACACAGAGTTTGACCAGCTATTTTTCAACAACAGATATTTAATTCAAGCTTCTGGAGTATCCACGGTTGCCATGAATCTGAGTTGGTTACTGTCCGATAGACTGAAATACGGAGTATTTATCACACCTGATAAGCAAATAAAAGACAATAATGCGAGAGGAGGCCAAAGCCTTGTAAATGGAGTGTATAACTGCATGAACTAAAATGCTTGATTTTTTAAAAATGTATTTATTTAACACTGTATGTTGTTTGGGGTCTGTTCTGGCCAAAAGCCTTTTCTTTCTAATCTGGCACATTATTAATGACACCAACGTTTGTGGGTTTGCATACTTCTGGTCTGTTGCTAACTCTTATAGCCTAGTATGCATCTGGGCAAATAGCATAGTGGCTAAATCCTATAGATTTATCCTTGAATTAGGGGGCTTAGCCATTATGGCTAAAAAAAAATGTGACTAAATAAAATGAGTACAAAATTTTAAATTACTTTTTGCGCGTCACTTTTTAAAATGTAAACGGGCAGTACGCACTGAAAATGCAGACGCAACTTATAGAGTATTGCGGGTCACCGCCGCCTTCCTGCCTGCGCTGCAGGAGTTTCCCTTCTCGCAGGTGTGGCGCAGCAATCAGCAGCCTCTGCACTGTGGCTTCTCCCTGGAGCGATACAGCACAGCCACCTCCCAGCTCTCCTGCAAAATCAGCGTGCGGCAGGTCAAGGGGCAGGAGCAGATCATCCAGGTCTACACGCCTGTGGCGGAGGTCAGTTCTCCATTCCCATCTGCGGCTAGAGAATTGTGTTGTTGTGTTCTTGGCCATTTCGTGCCCAACATCAGTGCCTGACCTCACAAATGTTGTTCTGGATGAGTGGGCAAAAATTCCCGCAGACACACTCCAAAATGTTGTGGAAAGGCTTCCCAGAAGAGTGGCAGCTGTTACAGCTGCAAAGGGGGAACCAACTCCATATTGATGCCTATGGATTTAGAATGGGACGTCATAGAAGTTCCTGTAGGTTTAATGGCCAAGTGTGTCAGTACTTTTGTTCATACAGTGTATTTGTTCCAAAAAATGCTCTAGCTTTGAAGACCCTGGCTTGTACATATTCAGTATAGTTAAGGACTTTAATTTATAGTATGTATTTGAAAGTTTTAAATACATTTTATCTATGATAATTGTTTGGGGTGTGAACTGATGATCTTTGCCATATATTTCACTACTGTAAGCCCATCCTAGCCTGACTGAAATCACTTTCCAGAGGGAAAAGGATACAGCTCCAGTCTTCAGGCCAGCAGACTGCACTGTCACGTTTCAGACAGGACCCAAGGCCTTCAGAATTCCCCTCTCCATACGCCAGAGGATATGCAATACTTTTGATACTGCCAACGCCAAGGGCAAGGACTGGAGGCTGTTAGCACAGAAACTTCACATTGAGAGGTGAGACCTTGCCTCTAGCCTCACCATGGAATGAGTGAATGTTTAGCGTTAGCTCCCTGAGCAAGAGGGACTTTTAATCTGCCTCCAAGAGATGCAGCCCTAGTTCCTAACATTCCGCCTTATGGCAGTGCTTATGTGAATCACTGGTGCTCAAAGAGACCTCAGCGCTTTGCTGGGACAGCCCTCGGTCTACCTCTGCAGACATTCTTTCTAGGCGGGGTGCAGTGATGGTGTTTGGCCTCTGGTTCACCCCACAGAAAGAATGGAGAGACAATCTACTGTTACCAATCAACTTGTAAAAATATGAATAACACAATAAAACAGGCATTTAAAAATATACAGTACATATGTAATAGAAATATGTAAAAATGATTAAGTCAGATTATAATGAGCTGTATTTGGTGCTGTTCATATCTCATTTACACAAAAACAGCTTTCTGTATTTTGACATCTACCTATATATTTGAAAAGCGTTATTTCTCTGGCAATGTACTGCAGCTACTGCAAACACAGTTAGCAGAATGAGGTTAGAGTTTACTACTAATCTGGCCAAATTACATTTCTCAAGGGATGATCAATACTATTCCTGGCTTTTCAGTCTGTATTTTTTTAAACTCTTGATTATTCTTTGATTTTAGTTTGTGGTTTGATTACTTTTTATAACAGAGGTCCACAAACAAATCTGTACGTAAAACCTCAGTAAAATGTTACACTGGATTTTATTCAGTGGGGTACCCAGCACCATGCAAATGTATAGAATATGAACTAGACTCAAGGCAATGGTTGACTTTGTCTATTATTAATCAGCCTGAATAGCCTAAATGACACAGTAGCTTTTTATAAGTATGTACAAATTAAAAATGTGAAAATTTTGAAAAAAATGTAGTGGGTTCTAACAGGGTTGCAGGGTGGCAAGAGAAACAACAACAGTCTTTTTTATGTTTGTTTGTGTGATTCAGCCTGAGGTACAACTGTCATTTTACGTTTGTTTGTGTAATACAGTCCAGGGTACGACTGTCAATTTATGTTTGTTTGTGTAATACAGCCCAGGGTACAACTGTCATTTTACATTTGTGTGATTCAGCCTGGGGTACAACTGTCATTTTACGTTTGTTTGTGTAATACAACCCAGGGTACGACTGCCAATTTGTGTTTGTTTGTGTGATACAGCCCAGGGTACAACTGTCATTTTATGTTTGTTTGTGTAATACAGTCCAGGGTACGACTGCCGATTTGTGTTTGTTTGTGTAATACAACCCAGGGTACAACTGTCATTTTACGTTTGTTTGCGTGATTCAGCTTGGGGTACAACTGTCATTTTATGTTTGTTTGTGTAATACAGTCCAGGGTACGACTGTCAATTTGTGTTTGTTTGTGTGATACAGCCTGGGGTACGACTGTCATTTTACGTTTTTTTTGTTTGGTTCAGCCTGGGGTACGACTGTTAATTTACGTTTGTTTGTGTAATACAGCCTGGGGTACGACTGTCATTTTACGTTTTTTTGTTTGATTCAGCCTGGGGTACGACTGTTAATTTACGTTTGTTTATGTAATACACCCCGGGGTACGACTGTCACACTGATGCATAGCTGCCTGATACTGTCCCTCAGTCTGACTTAGTTGATTTGATTTTAGATGTGTAAAAGTGCAGCTCAAAAGAACAAAGTTAGCATGTGGAAGGAGCTTGGGCCGCAGCCTTCTTTCCCATGCTACCATGCTTGGAATAATTATACTGAGTTTCGGCCTTGCAAGATTCTTAATGCTTTTGCTGGGTAGTAATATTTCTTTCCATTCTTATGGGAGATAAATGATTACACATGTTCAGAGGAAGTGTAAATTGTGAATATGATTATGAGTAACCGCATTATTTGTGTTTTAATGACACACAATTGTCTTGGCAGTAACATAGGGAAGCTTCTGATGACACTCTTACATTAGTGTTGTGGTGATGAATGCCCTTTGCAAGGTATAATTTTTTGAGTGTCCTGCAAGACAAATAGTTGTTGCCAGAACATGTGAAGGCCAGCTGCCACTGTGTAATACCTGCACAAAATTAGAATGCCTTGGTTTTGTTTTCACGTTCATTTCCTGTGCACACTTAGACAACAATGTACTTGCAACGAAACACTGCCATCTGGTGATCAGAAATATGAATATCACATTAATTGCCATTAATATAAACCACAGCAGCTGAGGGCCAGCAATAACTTAAAAGATTTTAAACTAAAACACATATTAAAAAAATAGATCATAAAAATGGCATGTGATGTTTTTCACAGTGGTTTTCTTTGAACGTTCTACAAATATTACTATCAGAACCTACATGCAGAATCTAAAATGCAAATGACACACCACATATTTCTCACTGCATCCCTCATCAAGCAGTTGTGCCTTTTTGCTCTTCACTTCCACTGCAGGAATCTATCCTATTTCGCCAAGCAGCAGAGCCCTTCAGGGATGATCCTGAACCTGTGGGAGGCTCTGCACCAGGACATTGGGGACCTGGATTTGCTGGCCAGGGCTCTTGAGGAGATCAGCAGAGTGCAAGCAAACAGCCCGCTCAGCTGCGCAGCTGCAGATGGGTCTGCCACCGACTTAATGTGCAGCAAGTGAGGTGCAGGGAGCAGGGAGGCGATGGGACAAGGAGACGCAGACTTCACTCAGTAGATGTTCACTGGCTTTCCAGCTTCACCTCTTGAGCCACCCAGCACCCAGCTACCAGGGAACTGATGGAAGGAGCCTGGAATTTGCTTTGCTTTGGTCTTCAGAAGCCAGGAGGCATCCTTCGAGTGCAGCTAGTCGTAAAAGAAAAACAGACGGAGGAAGGGTGGAACACCCCAGTCTCCACAGCAGCAACCCGTGGATAAAAAACAAGCAAGATGTGTTGATGTTTGTTAGAATGATCATCAGGAAAATCAGAGTGTTTAAGTGAGGGACTGAGCCGGGGGATGCCGCAGCACCCAGAGCTCCCTGTCCGCGCAGTGCCACCTGCCCACAAACGTTTGCTGCTTGGTCGTTCCTTTCTTCTCTTCTCTCTAATTCAGCTGCATTTTGTCACATTAAAGTAATGGGGTAACACTTTGTAGTTTAAGCACCACCCCCCTCCCCCAAAAATCTCCTCAGATTATAATATAGTAATTACTTGTAAAACACTGTCCTTGATCCTGGAGACAAGGGCAGAAACTATCAAGGTTTAACTGTTTAGCAATACTGAAATAGACACATCTATAATGGCAATGTGTTTGAACTCACAGAAATTGAATGTTTTTTTTTTACTGCCTGATTTCACCATATATGAATGAAGTATTTTATGCTTTTATTTTAACAGCAACCACCTGGCCCAATCTTTAATTGATTTATTGCCAAATATGTGCATTAATTATATGTAAATAAGACTGTCCATAACTTGTACTAACGTGAAAGACAGGCAAGCATTGCTGACAGTAAGGCAGAACAAACTCACGCCTTTCTCTTGACCCACTCGGCCTTATTAATCCACTCCGATTCAGCCTTGTGTACAAATGGGAGACACGGACTCGCAGTTCAGGGACCAGAGGTGGTTCATTTAAAAGGAGAATAAAGAAGATGGAGCGAAAGACACCATCCCAGCTGTTTTAACCAAACGGGAGAGGAAGCCCGTTGAGATGCGGTGCTTTACCGAGTACAATGGCGTGGTCCTACTTTATGCTGTATTCATTTGTGTTCTGATATTATCATGCTGAGAAACAGAAACTAAATGTAAAAATGGAATGGCTAAAAATATTTATTATGTGTTACTGCAGGTATTACTTGTAAATGTAACTTATTTTTTAAATTGGTTTATTATTTAATATTGTATTAATTACTACAAATATTATACCTTTAAATGCAATTACTTTCAGATTTTTTTCTTCCTTGTAAAGCGACCTTGGGTTTGTGAAAGGTGCTGTATAAATGTAACATTATTATATTATATATTATGAATTACAAATATTTAATTTATTTTCTTATTTTAATTTGTTTGTTTAGTTTCTTTGTATTTATTTGTTAACATTTTTAAATATTTTTCAAAAATACACATAATAATATGGGCTACAACAGCCCATTTTCAGGTTCCACTTGAAAGCTAATCTGACTGGGTCTGCTATATTTCCTGCTTTACTTTAATTGAATGAACTAAAATATTTTAAGTCCTACAACCCCCTCTCCAAAAAAATTGGGATGCTGTGTAAAATATAAATAAAAACAGAATTCAATGATTTGCAAATCATTTAAACCCATAGTTAATTGAAAATAGAACAAAGACGATATATCACATGTTGAAACAGAAATGTTATTGTTTTATGACAAATATATGCTAAATATGAATTTGATGCCAGCAACACATTGCAGAAAAGTTGGGACAGGGCAACAAAAGATTGGAAAAGTTGTGTAATGCTAAAACAAAACATCTCACAACTAATTAGATTAATTGGCAACAGGTTAGTTAGATGATTGGGTATAAAAAGAGACTCCCAGAGAGGCAGAGTCTCTGTGAAGTGCAGATGGGGAGAGGTTCACCACTCTGTGAAAGTCTGTGTGGGCAAAAAGTGCAACAATTTATGAATAATGTTCCTCAATGTAATATTGCAATAAATTTGCGAATTTCATCAAGTACCGTATATAGTATCATTAGAAGATTCAGAGAATCTGGAGAAATCTCTGTACGTAAGGGACAAGACCGAAAAAAATATTGGATAGCTGTGATCTTCGGGTCCTCAGGCAGCACTGCATTAAAAACAGACACGATTCTATAGCAAAAATCACTGCGTGGGCTCAGGAACAGATCCAGAACCATTGTCTGTGAACACAGTCCGTCGCTCCATCCACAGATGTCGGATGAAGCTCTACCATGCAAAGATTTAAACATGATCCAGAAACTCTGACTTCTCTGGGCCGAGCCCAGATGGACTGAGCAAAATGGAAAACTGTCCAGCAGTCTGAGGAATCAAAATTTCAGATTCTTTTTGGAAATCATGGACACCACAACCTGCAGGCTAAAGAGGAGAGGGACCATCCAGCTTGTTATCAGCGGACAGTTTAAAACATCTGGGAAGGTACCATTAATGCTGAATGATATATACAGGTTATGGAGCAACATTTGCTGCCTTCCAGACAACCTCTCTTTCAGCAAAGCAACGCCAAGCCAGATTCTGTGCATAATACAACAGCATGGCTCTGTAGTAGAAGAGTCTGGGTGCTAGACTGGCCTGCCTGCAATCCAGGCCTGTCACCCATTAGAAACATTTGGCACATTGTGAAACGAAAAATACGACAAAAGAGACCCGCACTGTTGAGTAGTTGAAATCCTATATGAATGAATGGGAGAACATTTCGCATTCAAAACTCCAGCAACTGCTCTCCTCAGTTTCTCTACTGAGGAGGTGGGTGGGAAGAGGATGTAGGTCAAATTTACATCCATTTCGGACAATCCCTCTCAGCCCCTGCACACGACAGTGTGAGCGTTACTCAGCTCCTTCAGCGACAGACTGCTACATCCAGCATGTAAGACGGAACACTTCCTCCAGTCCTTCATTCCATCTGCCATCAACTTCATAACTCCACAGTCAAGTGCACTAATTTCTATTATTGTCTGTCCACTACATATAATTGTACATTTGTGCAATAATAACTGTATTTGTGTGACTTGTGGATCATATATTTATATCCTACTTGGTGCCGTATCTGTGTTTGTGTCATTACACATGCAGTTACTTACTTATTCCACTTCATATGTCCAATATCCACAATTTGTGCACACAGATTTTTTTTTCATTATTTTTTTTCTTATTTATTACCTGTTATATAACATGTTCTGATTTGTGTTTTCTTTTGCTATTTTATCTTTATCCTCAAGCTGTTGTAGCAAGTAAATTTCTTATCTTACGTTTACAGAGTGTTAAAAAAAAAGGTGATGCTACACGGCGGTAGTGATGCTACATGGCGGTGATGCTACATGACGGCGGCGATGCTACACGGCGGTGGTGATGCTACACGGCGGTAGTGATGCTACACGGCGGCGGTGATGCTACACGGCGGCGGTGATGCTACACGGCGGCGGTGATGCTACACGGCGGTGATGCTACACGGCGGCGGTGATGCTACACGGCGGTGATGCTACACGGCGGCGGTGATGCTACACGGCGGCGGCGATGCTACACGGCGGTGGTGATGCTACACAGCGGCGGTGATGCTACACAGTGGTAAACACGCCCCTGTCACAACTTTTTTGAAACATGTTTCTGGCATCAAATTGAAATGGAGCAAATATTTGTCATAAAACAACAAAATTTCTCAGTTTTACATGTCTCTGTTCTATTTCAATTAAATATGGGTGTATACGATTGCAAATTGTTGCATTCTGTTATTTATATGTATTTTACGCAACATCCCAACTTTTTTGGAAATGGGGCTGTACATTGACACAGAAACAAATTGGCTGCCTAATATGCAGGATATTTAAAACATTTGAGGGGGGAGAAAAGCAGTAGTTGGTCTGACCTGAAAACGAATGGCTGTTACTAAGTTACCATTTAGATGAGGAATGTAAAATGCTTAAGGAAGCTATTTATGGCTGAAGTTCTATAGCCATTGCTCATATAAAAGCATATTATAAGGTCTCTGAAATACCGCAGAGTGGCTGTTGTCTTGCATAATGTCTCCCTATAATCTACAGAGAGTAAAAAGAGGGTTTTTTCAGGCCTTCTTTCCCATTAAAAGGACAAATCACATTTGACCCAGAAGAGTTAAACAATTAACCTGAACTACATGAAATACTCAGGTCCATGATCTTAAAGAGGCAATTTCACACAAGAGAATGTGATTACCATAATTAAAGTCAGCTGGAAAAACGCAGAATTTCAAAGTCCTTTGTGTTCATGTATATGCATATTATCAATGATTTTATAATATCATTTTAATACCAATGCAGTGTGCTTAACAAAATAGAAATTCCTGACAGAACGCATTCAGTCAATCACAGGGCTCCTGTAAGGTACTGTGCATTTGGGGTGGATAATCAAGCAAACATTGACTGATAATAATATATAAGAATAAAACACTACCTACACTAGTAGTTGTCATCCTGGTCAATAGAGAGAAACTAGTCTGAAATGACTACAATAGGGAACCAAAGATTTAGCCATTAAAATAAGGTTGGAAGGGAGACTTATTTATAGTAATGATGTAAGAAGTAATGTTAAATTATTCCACACTTTAGATTCATTATCGAGCCGTATGATGTAGCACCATGTTCAACATGTTCATGCTATGAAGCATCATGAAGGTGATGTAACTAGTAACTACTGGGAACATAAACCACATAGTAATTGATTTAAATGCTCCAAGAAGCTTAAAGGGGCAGTTCACCCCAAAACGACAGAAAAGATGTGCTTCACAGGGGCTTTAGTGCTGTCTGTCCACCGAGGTCATGAGGCGCTATCCTCTGCGCAGAAGATGCAAGCACGAGCACGCCCATGATATCTGCTCCTATGTTTGAGAGAAGCCCAACATTTCCATGGCTGATATTTCCAAAACTAGGCAATTCTCAGCAGGGCAACCTAAATGGATAGATAGCACTAAATTCCCTCTAAGACATATCTCTTACAGTTTTGGGGTGAACTGTCCCACTAAATTATGTAAAACTCTAACTTGAAATCTTATTTTGTTCATTTATAATTTGACACGGTGCACTGATATTGCATACAGGTTGCACAGGCATAGATAGGAATTCTGGGCCTCCTGACTAAATCCCTGCAAGTATGATTCATGCATTTACGCAATCAGATGCCCCTGGAAAATGCTGGGACCCCTGAATCTGCTAGGCTCTCCATACTGTGCTCCTGCCAGATTGCGTCTGTCTCGTGTCCTAGGATAGGTCCTACTCTGACCATGATCCCGCACTGAATAGATAGCTATTGAGAATACAGCGTTGTAGATGGAAGAAATAGCATGCATTAGTCTGGCCGCAGTTTTGCTTCCTTTTCCTGCAGAGTGGTACAACATCCATCACCAATTAATGTCAGAAGCCCTTGAGTCACAGTTAGAGGTTTGAACATCAGCACAACCACAAAGGCAGGAATGTGAACACTACCTGTGCTAACGGTTTGGAGGTTCTCTTCTATAAGGTTCCATGAGGTTGGAGGTTCTCCTCTATAAGGACAACCATGCATTGCCGTATCCATAAGCGCTTGATATTATGGTGTGCAAGTCTTCAGTGTTTTTTTTTTTTACTGCCAGCCATATATATTATGTGCATTTCTTCTTATCTAAATACATCACCTATAAATAAATATTTTGCAAAAAAAAATGTGGTATATCTGTTTATTTATTTGTGGTGACTTACACATTTAAGTCCTCCAATTACAAGGGGCGATTAGGAAGGAAGTCACATGATGGGTGTAACAAGAGCAGCAAAGCAGAAGAAAAACAAAATATGGCTATTCTGAAAACACCATGAGGAAAACGAACGAACGAACGAACGAACGAACGAACGTAGGGTCAGGCATTTAGGTCTAGACACATTTAATGGGACGAAAGAAAACAATAGTCGTTACGTAGTGACTGAGAACGATAAACAGGGCAACCGAGCGTGCCTGTCAGTAGACCTTACATCACCCACCGAGATCCAGGAGCCTTCGCCTCTGATTTTAATAATATTTACATTGTCCCAAGAAAGGTTATTCAGAGCAACTGGACTTATTTAGTTCTTAGAAAACATTTCACCCTTCAATCCAGAGGGCTTTCTCAATTCTGTCTGACTGGTTAGAGTAGCAGGTTTATAAATTCTGTGTTTAGCCCTAAAGTCGTTGATACTTGATGGTCACTTGATGGTTGTTGTTTCCCCTGGCTTTCATGTATGTTACTGTGACCACCTGGAGTAGGGTGTGAACGACTGTGACATACATGAGGGGGGGTGCTGGTGCTGTTTCTGATGAACAGTAGCACAGAAGCCAAGCAGGCAGGGGAGCAGGGCCTTTTAACACAGGTGCAATCGGTCCCTGCAACGACGGGCCCCTGTTTGGGCGCAGCAATTTTTATTGGTAATTTTTCACTCGAGAAACCAGAATGCCAGCTACTGTTTTAATTTACGATCACTATTACTTATTTTTACTTACTCCACCACTGCTTACTTGCATCCCCAATGCTCACAATGCCACCCACAGGGCGAGCATGTGGGCGTAACCAGTGTGATGCTCATTGAACGTCAAATACGGCTCGAAAATCGCCCGAATTGACCCAGATGATATCTGGCGGCCATT